GAAGCCACTGCAGTGGGGGCCTAGGCAGAGGTGTTTATGGGCAATTAGGCAGGCAGGTGAGCAGTTAGCAGTGATCAGGCAGGAAGGCAAGTGGTTAGGGACGATCAGGCAGGCAGACAGAGTGGTTAGGGGCAATTGAGCATGCATGTAGAGTGGTTAGGGGCAATCAGGCAGGCATGCGAGTGTTTAGGGGTGATCAGGCAGGCTGGCAGAGTGGTTAGGGGCATCAGGCAGGTAGGCAGAGGTGGTTATGAGCGATGAGGCAGGCAGATGAGCAGTTATTAGCTAGTGGTCCTGGATTGTGAGGGGGATGTCCGACTGCTGGACATCCCCCTAGGGGTCTCGGATTACAAGAGGGTGCAGGCCGGGCTGAGAGACCTCCTTCCCTCCCATGCACAAATTTTGTGCAATGCAATTTATATAAGTTGCATTGCAAATGAAGTTTAAGGTACTCTCAAAACACATAAAAAGGGCTTATGAGCTATGTTGGGATGGTCAAGGAAGGCTTCCAGGGCGAAGTGACATTTGAGTTGAGAAATGGAATAACTCATCATTCCTAATGACATCCTGAGATGAATGTTCTGAAGTTTGGGAACCTAACCTACATTGAGTAGTTAGAAGAGTAATCCTTTTGCTGTGGTCATAAAGATGAGTTTCCATTCAAAGGAGAGAAAGGTATTTCTGGGGCTTGAGACAAGAGAAACTGCATGAGTAAAACTTGTGGCAAAAGAGAACTTGCAGCTCTGGAAAAACTGGCAAAAAAATTGCAAATGCATGCTGCAAGAAAACTGCCTGTAGGCATAACAGAATGAGTGAGTGGAAGGTGGAAGAGAGGGGCAAGGTCAGACCCTGGAAGTGGCTTTAAGCAGAAAAGAGCAAGAGTGACAATCACATTGTCATTTTTCAAATACTAGACCGGCACCCTTCCAAGGCGATGTGTCCTGCAGGCATTCAGAGAGACGGGTTGGGAATGCTTATGTGAGAACTGTGCTGAGAGTATGGATTTGGGAATTATTGGCATGTAAATCATAATTGAAGAACAATAATTCATGAGATCACATTGGAAGAATGAGTAGAGCAATAAGATGAGGACAAAAGTAATCCTGGTTCAATTTTCTAACTCATTTAAGAAATGTGTATTTTATTATTATAAAAGTAATACATGATTATTTTCGGAAATGAAGAAAAGTAAAAAAAAAAAATTACCTGGACTCTGACCACTCAGGGCTAAGGGACATTAAAATGTTGGCAAGTTTATTGCCACCACTTTCACTTGTCCATTGCTTCCTATACTCAGGTACTCTGAACTTGGCCATGTGGCCTGTTTTAGCCAATGAAACAGTGGGAAATAGAGCACACACATAGGTGTGAAAAGCGTTTGTGTTTGGGGGCTTGCTCACTCCTGCTCCTTCGATCCCCGAGACTGCCATGGGAAAAAGCCCAGGCCAGTCTGCTGATGGTGGAGCAGAGAGGAATCATCTCAGCTGAGACCTCCTAGACCAGCTACACTTCCAATGTTTATAAAATATTTTTTATTGATTTCAGAGAGGCAGGGAGAGGAAGAGAGAGATAAAGATATTGATGATGAGAGAGAACATCAATCTGCTGCCTTCTGCACTCCCCGCAACCGGGACACGTGCCCTGCCTGAGAATCGAACTGCGACCTCCTGGCTCAGAGGTCGACACTCAACCACTGACCCACACAAGCGGGGCCACACTGCCAATTTTTTGAAAATCCATTTTTCTTAATTTCAGAGAGGAAGGGAGAGGGGGAGAGAAATAGACACATCAGTGATGAGAGAGAATCATTGATCAGGTGTCTCCTGCATACCTCCCATTGGGGATCAAGCCCCCAACACAGGCATGTGCCCTTGGCTGGAATCAAACCTGGGACCCTTCAATCTGCAGAGTCCCTTCTATCAACTGAGCCAAACCAGTCAGGGACACACTGCATCCTTTTGAGACCATATGAAGTCATGCAGCCCCAGAGACAGTTATCCGGACCAGAAGAAAGTTTCACCAACCCCAAATCATGAGAAAACATAGATGTGTGGTTTTGTGTGTGTGTGTGTGTTTAAGTCTTTAAGTTTTAGGAAGATTTGTTATAGAGCAAAAGTCAACTGATACAATAACTGATAAATGAATTAGTAAGTAAGGGAAATTTTGCCTGTATTAAAGGCTTAGGTTTGATCTCATCTCTACTGCACTGTGGCTGTATGGCCTTGGATAATGAACTTCACCTATTTGAACTTCATTTTCTTTATCTGTAGACTATTTCTCCAGAGGAAGGGTGATAATGAAGCTCTGAAACATTAGCTGTTATTGTTATTATTTTGTTGTTATAATTCTTTTATCTAAACTAGGTTTCCTATTAAATAACTATATTAATTTAATATGACAAAGTTAAATCCAGTTAATATTGTTATGATATTCAATACAATGCAGTAAGGCCATGCCCATATTTCCCACAGAAAAACATCCAGTCTGCTCAAATATTTTTCTAATATTATTAAGAAGAAGAAATATAAAAGCATATATTATTTGAGGGATTTGGAACTGATCTGTGCTGCATTTTGTCCACTTTAGCTCATGGAAAGTTTCCAACAATCCTCTGAAATAAATACTCTTACTATCATCGCTTTTCCAGTGAGGAAACAGCCAGAACTTAGCCTCTCACTTGGGTTTTTCTGAGTTAAGAACCAGGGTTCTTAACCACTCTGCTGGTACATTCCAGCCATAGTCTCAAGTTTCAAAGAGCAAACCAAGTGTGGAAGCCCCAGTATAATTCTCTGATCACTCGGGGCACCAGCATGATGACACTCTATTCACTTACAGCTCTTTGCAGAGTGATCCCAGATTCCCACATCTCCCTGCAGAATGTGCCTGGGACCTGCAGGAGCCTTCTCTATTGTTCATAACTTAGAGCCTGTGCCAGACATCAAAGCACTCCCAACTCACCTCCAATTAACCAGTGCAACTTTTTGGAAAATTTATCTCTTCCGACATGGATTTATCGTTTCCTCTTAAGCCCTCTTTTCTCTTCATCTTATGTCAGATGGGTTAAAATTTAATGTTAAAATTTAAACCTTAGCACCGATGTTAAAATTTAGACCTTACACATGTCTGATTCTTATCAGGCTTACTATCTTTCTTTTCTACATAAAATTCTTTTCTCAAACTGGCTTTGGTCTGGACCCTTGCTTTAAATGCAGGTGCTGCTGACTCACCTGATAGTCAGTCAAAATGTAAATATGACATTGGCTAATGTGTTGTCTGAGCTCAAAAACACGAAACTTTTACAGATATTTCTCCTTTCCAAAATAAATACTTTGGATCTTAATGATTTCAGTTCAAGACAAAATAAGACAACTGCTCCTGATAATTCAGAGCCAGAAGAAAAGAAAATCATGTTAGCTCCTGGAGGGGGCTACTACCCTTTGCTCTTTTTCACTATTGTCCCTTTGAAAATGACAATGGGCATTCAAAAGTTTAAATAGTTTTAAGTGACTATTTCGTATGTTTCGGTAGTGGTACTACATCTCTCATAGATATCAAATTGCCCTCACTTTTTAATTCTCAAATTACTAACAGATTAGCGCTAGTCGCAAAGGTTTTCTTCTCTAAACTGCAGCCTTTAAAACAGTGCACTGTTGCTGGCTCTTCCTTGTGCCAGATGCTGCCTGATGTAACATATGTGGGGATGCCACAATAAGGTACCCTTTGAAAATCTGAAAATTAAGTGATATTTGGATACATTTCAGGTTTACATTTTAAAATAAACTGTATTTAAAAGGAATTCTGATTTTAGTCTATTCCCTGACTGTGCATCTGTCACAGTCTAAAACAAGCAAATCCTTCCATGATATATTTTGAAAACACATGACTCTGTATTATCATCCACAAGTTATTAATTTTATTTTTCTTGAACTTCTCTGAGTAACATAGATTTTCTTGTCATTTTATGTGTATATGATGTCCCATGACTTCCTATAATAGTCCGGTTTTTTTGCTATTTAACTCTTGGCCCCACATCATTTTGCATTGAAATTGTCTGTTTTCTCACCCTTCTTGCCTCTGGAGTATGAATTCCTCTAAGGTGGAGATTTTAATTGCCTTTCTATCACCAGTGTCTGATTTACGGTGTGGGGAAGGAAAAAAAAGTTCCTCTACCCTTGAGATTCTTCTTGCTGGTCCAATAATCAAACAGACATGAGACAGATTAGCAAGAAAAAAATAACTAAATTTAATACATATATATGTATGGGAACCCGGCATTACATTAGCCAGTCAGAGAGCCCACAGGCAGGAGAGGTTCAAAGATTGAGAGGGGATTGAGGTGTATAAGACATCCTGAGCTAGGTATAAGGTAGTGTACCTTGAGGACTTCAAAGTGTCATTGCAGGATGACAAGAAGAACAGACATTTAGTACACGGAAGTTTGTCCTGCCCTATCAATAGGTCAAAATAACTTATCTGACCTATTTGTGATAAGCTCTATGGACCAGGTCCTTGTTCAAGTTCTAGGTAGCTAAAGGTGTGGCTGAAGTTTCTCTTGAGCCTGCGTCTAAAGTTGCTTTTAGCTCAAAACAATCTGCATACCACAGAGGCACAATTTGGGGTGACTCATTCTGGACCCCCACAAGGGACTTACACATAGCAGGTCTTCAAAATTATTTGTTGAGTAAATGCATCATTTTATGATGGGTCTGACTCTCCCTTTTTCTTCATGTTTCTTTAATTGTGTTTCCTCTATCTTTCTTGCTTCTCATCTCACTCTTCCGTTTTTAAATCTATCTGGGATCACAAAAGTCTTTAGAGTATGTTAGGCCTAATCTTTGGCCCTAATGTAAGGAGCCTAATATCTCTATCCTCAAGGTTCCCTGCTAATTCATCACTGTTTGCTCAGATCCTTGCACCACATCTTAAGTATTGCATTTCCTCCTTCCTCATCCAGTATTTCTGGTTCATTAAATAGCTCTATCCCCTTATTTTCCCACCAGGTCCCCAAACACCAGCCAGATGATATGGATGAACCAAAGCTGAAGTGAAACAATCTGATGGCCATCCCTGAACTGTAAGTTTCTCGCTTCCCATCTCTTTACTGGAGCAAAGTTTAGAGTCCAAAGGTGGCTCCTCCATCAAGGGATTAACTTCTGGCCTTGGGCCTAAGGAACAATCCACAGTGCAAATGTGCCTCAGCTGTCAGTTACTTTGCCTTCTATGTCTGCAGACTTTTTGTTTGTTCTTCATGGCCAGCTGTTGGCCTGCCACTTGGCAAGCTCACACCAACATGGTGTTAACCAATTTGTTTCCCCCTCATCTGGCTCTGGAAATTGAACCATGCATATCTGATTCATTACTTCAAACAAGCCTCTGATGAAGAGGCTTGAGAACCACAGGTGGTCATTTCAACCGGAGCTAACCAAAGGCCCTATAGAGATGATCTCTTTCGAATCAACAAAGAACCTTATTTTTACAGCACTGACATCAGATTTATTGCAGATAGCAAGTGTTAATTCACATTTTATCATGATCAGATTTCTCATAGCTCTCAAAAATGAATTTAATATGAGATACAACTTTGTATTTCTTTCTACTTAGAAAAAAACACACATTATCTAATGTGTTTCTGGTTCCTACTACTTATCTGAGCCCTCTTATCCCAACCTTCAAACGAGCTCTAATAAAGAAACATGATCACATTCTAGGTCCAGGACAAAGTGGGCTTATACTTAGGTATTGCTGAAAAGGTATTATATTCACATCACTTGGACATAAAGAGAAGAGAGAGAGGTACACTACTGCTATTATAAAACATGTATGTAGTTATGACTAGGTAGGAACAAAGTATGTGCATTTTTGACATTGTGCTAAATATTTTCTTATTTAATTTTCAAAGTAACCCTGTGGAGAAAAAGATATATGTAATCCACATGTTATAGATGAGAAAAAGAGACTTTGTAAAAGTAAGCTACTACCTGGGAGTCACCCTGTTATTAAGTAATAGAGCTGAGAAGAACACTTTTACTGAGTGCTAATCTATACTTCTTTAACCCTATGCTGTTGTGTCTGTGGAGATAAAAAAAACTGGTTGGTACATGGGGTACTGTGGAAACAGTTACAGATTTGCAGCTGAGAATTGCATTTCATTTTAACTCATATTAAAGTTGCCTAATTTTACCTAGAACAAGTCAATAACCTACCTGGAATTCTGCTATAACACACTATTTGGAGCTTTTATGAAATGAAATCTGAATCCAATTAAGTTTTATTTTTTAAGAAAAGCTTTAGTTATTAGAAATTCTGAATGGCTTGATTAACTACATTTATATATTTTATTGCATAGAAATGGACTCAGAGTTGTTATTAGAATCTCATGTGGAATTATTTGCAATGTTGATACAGTGGTGTATTTCGTTCTTGTCTTTGTCTTTTGATCCCATCTTTTGATCCCCTTCTTCTCCTAGTAAACAACCTATTGAAGACACTGAGCTACTCACTATATACCTCAAACACAGTTTCTTTTATACCTTTGAGCATTGCACATGTTATTTCTTAATACATGCACATTACTTAAAATCGTGACACAGCACTGTGAAAAAATAAGAGATTAACAATGTTATTACTATTAATTAGAGGACGGGCGCATGAAATTCATGCACAGGTGGTGGTGGTGGCGGGGCGGTGGGGGAGAGGGGGAGTGTCACTCAGCCCGGCCTGTAACCTCTCCAATTTGGGATCCCCTGAGAGTATCCGACTACCGGTTTAGGCCCCATCTGTGCAGGTAGTCCCAGATTGCCAGAGACTGGCTCCAAACCACTTGTCTCCCTGCCAGCCAGATCGCCCCTAACCACCTCTGCCTGCTGGCCTGATCACCCCCTAACTGTTCCCCGGCCTGCCAGCCTGATGCCCATAACCACCTGTGCCTGCCTATCTGATTGCCCATAACCACCTCTACGTGCCAGCCTGATTGCCCCCTAACTGCTCTTCCCTACTGGACTGATTGCCATAAACTGCTTTCCTCCGCTGGCCTGATCACCCCCTAACTGCTCTGTCTTGTTGGCATGATCCCCCCTAATTGCTCTCCCCTGAAGGCCTGATCGCCCCTAACTGCCTCTGCCTACCAGCGTGATACCCCCTAACTGCTCTCCCCTGCTGGCCTGTTCACCCCCTAACTGCTCTTCCCTGCCAGCCTGATTGCCCCTAACCACCTCTGCCTGCCGGTCTGATCGCTCCCTAACTTCTCTCCCCTGCCAGCCTGATTGCCCCTAACCACCTCTGCCTGCTGGTCTGATCGCGCCCTAACTGCTCTCCTCTACCAACCTGATCACCCACTAACTACTCTCCCCTGCTGGCCTGATCGCCCCTAACCTCCTCTGCCTCAGCCCTCGCCACCTTGGCTTTGTCCTGAAGAACTTCCAGTCTAATTAGCATATTACCCTTTTGTTAGTATAGATAGTATTGTTTTCCTCCCTGCAAATTGCTCCTTAACTATTAAGATGCAATTAAAATGTTGCCTATCTGTAACTCTGTGTTAATTAATAAGAAATTCTATTGCATGTGAGGGAAAGCCCAACTCAAATTTGGTACAATAAACAAAACTACATTAATAAGAGGGAATTTATTATCTCACATAACTGAAATATTCAGGAATATATCATATACATAATTATTTGGGGGCTCAAATAGTCTTTCTTTGTCTCTCAGTTCTGTTCTTACTTTTTTTATTACATTTATTAGGGTAAGATTGGTTAATAAGTTTCTATAAGTTTCAAGTCTACTAGTCTATAGTACATCATTTGTTTATTGCATTGTGTATACAACCCAAAGTTAATTTTTTTTGTACCACCATATATTTGACCCCCTTTGCGACCCACCTCCCATCTCCTTTCCCCTGGTAACCACCATACTGTTGTCTGTGTCTATGAGTTCTTATTTGTTTGTATTATTTATTCCTTTGTTGTTTTCAGTCCCACATATGAGTGAAATTATATGGTTCTTAACTTTTTCCATCTGATTCATTTCACTTAGCATGATATTTTCAAGATCCATCCGTGTTGTCACAAATTGCAGTATTTCATCTTTTCTTATGCCTGAGTAGTTTTCCATTGTATATATGTGTTCTTCTTTTGCTTTATCTTCTTAATCTCATGAGGTGGCTATGGCACTGGCTGCAACACTAGGCATGCTAAGTTTGTGACCAACACAAGGAGAGAAAGTGTTTCTTTTCTGGTAGCTCTTAGACAGGTTCTTGGATTTACTTTGATAAAAGCTATTGTATCACATGTCCATTTTTGAATCAATCACTGTGGTCTGTAGGAAGAAAGGATGTATATTAGCCAGACTTAGATCAAGAATCTACCCATGGCCCTGGCCAGACTTACTTACCAGTAGTGGTTAGAACATTGGCCTTCACACTGAAGGGTCGCAGGTTCGATCTCCAGCCCTGGTCTTGGCATGTGCAACCAGTCCATGTGTTTCTCTCACTTTTTTTTTTCTCTCTCTCTCTCAAAAAAAAAAAAGTCAATGTAAAAAATATCCTTGGGTGAGGATTAAGAAAAGAAATATACCCTTGAAAAATAAGTCTAACTAGGCAGCAAACTTATTTACACCCTTGCTTACACACTTTTTGAATTTCTTCAGTACCAGAGCTATGTTTTATGATATTATGCATCCTTGGAAATTACGATGATGCCAGGCACATAGTAGGTTTTCAATGACTGTTGAATTGTTGAAGGGATGACTGGAGTATGTTCGTGGACTCATGAAAGCCAAGTTCCTGGTTGAGAGACATTTACAGTGCTATGAAGTAATGAATTTATTATTTATTTGTTTATTTATTCTAATATTTATAAAACACCCCTAATGTGCCAGGCAACATGCTTTAGGAAAACAGCAGTGAATAAGAGAGACATCACTCCGGTTCTCATGGAGCTAAAAGCCTCTATAGCAGCGGTTCTCAACCTGTGGGTCGCGACCCCTTTGGGGGTCGAACGACCCTTTCACAGGGGTCGCCTAAGACCATCGGAAAACACATATATAATTACATATTGTTTTTGTGATTAATCACTATGCTTTAATTCTGTTCAATTTGTAACAATGAAATTGGGGGTCACCACAACATGAGGAACTGTATTAAAGGGTCGCGGCATTAGGAAGGTTGAGAACCACTGCTCTAGAGAAAGCCAACAAGCAATTATAAATGAAGAGCATTATAATAGAGACTGAAAAGGCCATTGGAAATTGGGAGCAAATTGACCTAACCTAGTTTAGGGATCAAGGGAAACTTCTTAAAAGGTTTACCTTTAATTTGAGCCCTGTGGGGATGACTAAATTAAGGTGAGACAGAATTGAGCAACACCATGCACATTCAAAGAATGGAAAGAAATTCCAAATGGATGGTCAGGATGAAGGTGGTTTGAGCTGGAGAGGTGCTTGAAAATCATTTCTGGGATTTCATAGCTGATTCTAGAAGAAATGGAGAGCCTTGACTACATGACCATATCTGACTTGTATGCATAAGACTGTATCTAAGGTAGATAACATACAAAGTTGTATGTTGCCTAAAGAGTCACTGAGAAGAGACCACAGCAGGAGTTATGTGTTTCTTACACTTTGAAGATGAATAGAAGTTTCCCATCACAGAATGAGTAACCATAAGGCATCACTGCAGTAGCACATTGATGCAAAGAGGCCTTCCAGGTATGGCAGACTTTGGGTGTGTTTCTGCAGGATGCCACACTGAGTGACGTGTTGATAATGCTAAAGATGAACCTGGAAAGGTAGTTAATTGCCAGATTTTGAACATCTTTTTTTTCCATCTTAAGGAAACTGAATTTTATCCTAGAATCTCTGGTGAATCTTAAATAATGATGGCTATTCTCTTATGTTCTGTGGTCAATTCTGGACCTTCCAAAGATGAAGAACAGTGAATATGGTCCTAAACTTTGTGGTTGCTTTTTTTTTTAATTTAGTTGGAAAGACCAACAAGATAATTTACATAAAAATCATTCAGAGTAAGG